AACTAGTATATGCTGAATACATCAAGCAATTTCTGTGTACTGGCTATAAACAAAGTTGGTGCTAAGTGCTATTTCCAAGCACTCAAAAATATAAAGTAGCAATTTTCAACGGGTATATCACAAGAATTTTAAAACATGCAATACCTAATTATTTAGTCAGGGGCACTGATCTCTTTTTCCTTAGATTGTCAAATGAAAAAAACGACAATAATCAACACAATAGCTGTTGATGTGAGTGAATCAAAATTACACCTATTATTTTTGTCAGATTGGCAAAAAAAAATCTATAATATATTTTTTTGATGAGCCGCCAAATTTTAGTAATTATTAATTGTGCCATGAGATGAAAAGGTTGAAAACTGTTGCTGTAAAGTGAAACAGGAAATATGCCCTATCTCATGGCATTTGAAATTTTACTTTTCACTGACATGAAAGATTATTGGTATTTTCCAGATTCAAAAGAGGAAAAATTTTAAGTTAAGTTTATTTTTATTCATTATAACTGAAGAAGTTAGCACCTTATATTTAATGTAATAAAAGTTATAATTGGTGAGATTATATATACCTTTTTAAAGGATTAAAACAATTATTTTAGTACAGTGAAAAACAATCTTTGAACTTTATTATTTTTGAAATGTAAAATACATAATTATAATACCAAGGCTACATATCTTATTTTTTAATATTTTAATTAAAAAACTTTAAAAATTACACTCGTAATTTAAAAGAGGAAAATTTTTTAAAGAGGAAAATTTGGGATGAAATTTAAAGTTGAAAATTATACTAGTGACATACATTTACTGAAATGACATAGCACTGGGATTTAAATGTAAGTTTTTGTTGGGGGATAACCAAGAAGGAAGCATAGTTAAACACCTGTACTTGCTGCCTTTTAGAACCACATCAAAACTCCAACTAAAAGACAAAATAAATATCATCCAAGAACTATGGGACAGCTGGTTGAGTGGAAGTTCTACAACAAGAAAAAAGTACATTGAGACTGGTAGGAGGTGTGGAGATGCAGAAGTGCAGAGGTGCAGAGGCAGGCTGAAACAAGTCATGCCCTATAAGGGTGTCTCTAGCACAGCAGTTCTCCCATTGTAGACACAGCTGGTGCTCACAGCCAATTGGCCTAGAGGTCAATTCCTCCCAGTAATACCAACAGCAATCAAGGCTTAACTACAACAAGACAGTGCACGCAGACCACAAAGGGGTATACCAAGAGTGTCCACTTCAGGTAATTGGGGAGGCTGATCCACTGGGCCCTATAGGACACCTAACACACAAGGCCACTCTATCAACACAGGAAAGCAGCCAAAATGTAGAGACAAAGACACAGGTCACAAGTGAAAGAAATGGAGGAGGGCAAACTACTGGATATAGAGTTCAAAACCACGGTTATAACCTTATTCAAGAATCTTCTAGAAACCTCTGAGAATTTTAGTGAGACCCTCAAGGATATGAAAAAGGACCAATAAGAAATTAAGCATACACTGACTGAAATGAAGAATAATATACAGAGATCCAACACTAGACTAGAGCATCCCAAGAATAAAGTTGAAGATTTGAAATACGAAGAAGCAAAAAACACCTAACTGAAAAAGCAAGAAGAATCCAAAAATATTAAGATAGCGTAAGGAGCCTCTGGGACAACTTCAAGCATACCAACATCCAAATTATGGGGGTGCCAGAAGAAGAAAGAGAGCAAGATATTGAAAACCTGGAAAACCAAGATGGTGGCCTAGGTAAGCACAACAATTTCAAAGCAACAACTAAAAGACAGAACAGGCCGAAGCCGGTTTGGATCAGTAGTAGAGCATCGGTCTGCGAACTAAAAGGTCCCAGGTTCAATTCTGGGCAAGGGCATGTACATTGGTTGCGGGCACAGCACATCCCCAGTAGGGGGTGTGCAGAGGCAGCTGGTAGATGTTTCTCTCTCATCGACGTTTCTAGCTCTCTATCTCTCTCCCTTCCTTTCTGTAAAAAAAATCAATTTTATATATATATATAAAGACAGAATGGACATCATCCAAAATCACAGGAAAGCTGGCTAAGTGGAAATTCTACAACTAGAAGGAAAGAGAAAACTTCACGGATCAGAGGAGCCACAAAGGCGCTGAGGTAGGGAGTTGCACTCGCACAGAAGAAGGGCTGCAGAGTGCCTGGCTGACAGGAGAGAAAAGGAAGCCCTGACTGCACTGAACTCCAGTTCCCACTGCACTGAAACCCAACTCTGACTAAAACCCATGGACCCATGCTCATTTGGGGGGAGTCTGGACTGTAGAGAAATGTGCACGGAGTCTTGCAGGCTCAGGGGAGCCACACTGGCAGGGTTCTGGATGCACAAGTGCACTCAGAGAGGTCTGACTGCAGCGGTTGCCACAGGCTTTCCAAAGCTGAAGGAGTCAGAAGATCCTGACTGCACTGAAACCCAGTTCCCTGTGAGCCCCTGGGGTACTCATGCTCTTACAGGGGGAATCTGGACTGTCAGACAGAAACTCAGGGGATCCATGGAAGGCCGGGGGTCTGGAGGTGTGTGCAAAGGGCAGGGCTAAAGGGAAGCCAAGATGGTTGGCTCAGCCCTGAGACTCCGCCCCATCCAATCTGACCACAGAGGCTTTTGCAATTTTGCAAGTCTGGTCCTATAAGGCTTTCTCCAATACAGACAGTATCCAGGTGTAGACACAGCTGATATTCACAGCCAATTGCCCTAGAGGTCAATTCTTCCCAGTAATACCAACAACAATCAAGACTTAACTACAACTAGGCTGTATACACAAAGGGGAGCACCAAGAATGTCCACCTCAGGTAACTGGAGAGGCTGACCCACTGGGCCATATAGGAAACCTAGCACACAAAGCTATCCTACCAACTCAGGAAGCAGCGAAAATACGGAAAGAAACAGATCACAATGAAAGAAATGGAGAACAGACAACTGGATATAGAATTCAAAACCATGGTTATAAGGTTTTTCAAGAATTTCCTAGAAAAGGCCAATAAATTTAATGAGACCCTTGAGAATATGAAAAAGGACCAACTAGAAATTAAACATACACTGACTGAAATAAAAAATATTATACAGAGACCCAACAGCAAACTAGAGGAACGCAAGAATCAAGTCAAAGATTTGAAATACAACGAAGCAAAGTACACTCAGGCAGAAAAGTAAACAGAAAAAAGTATTTTAAAAATTGAAGATAGTGTAAGAAGTCTCTGGGACAACTTCAAGTGTGCCAACATCAGAATTATGAAAGTGCCAGAGAAGAGAAAGAGCAATTTATTTGAAGAAATAATGACTGAAAACTTCCCCCACCTGGTGAAAGAAATAGACTTACAAGTTCAGAAAGTGCACAGAATCCCAAACAAAAAGAATCCAAAAGGGACCACAGGTATTCTTTAAGAAGAGGAAGAAGAAGAAAAAGGTAAAGATAAAATTCATGAACAACAAAGTGACAACAAATACATATCTATCAACAAGCGAATCTAAAAATCAAGTGAATTAAAAATCTGAGTAACAGAATAAACTGGGGAATATAATAGAATCAGGGCCATAGAAAGGGAGTGGACTGACAATTCTCAGGGGAAAGAGGGTATGGAGGGTGCAAAAAGAGATTAGACAAAAATCTTAAACATATGGACGAGGACAGTGGAGGGGTAAGTGCATGGGATGGAGTGGGAACTGAGTAGAGGGGAGCTATGGGAGGAAGAAGAGAAACAACTCTAATAATCTGAACAATAAAGATTTATTTTAAAAATAATAAAAAGAATAAGTCTGTGTTATTCAAAATCCGTCATCTTAACTGAATGCTATACTATATACTCCATTGACTATACATACATAAAAAGTGTGTATAGTCAACATAACAACATAAAAATAATGCCTTCTATGGACATGGATATTTTTTCCAAGTATGTAGACATTTGTTTGTTCCTTTTTGATCTTCAACCCAACAGTGAATGTACAGAGGCAAGAATAGCAATATATAGGATAAAAAAAATTATATAAATGCTAATAAATTATAATAATATTATGTGAAACAAATGTTTTATAAATCATTCAGAATTAACTCCTATATCACTTTGAAAAATTAGTAATATTTTAATGGAATTACTAAGAATTATTAAATATTGAGTTTTTATTGCCAAATAATGAATTATTAACAGTAAATATGTACTATAGATCACAGTTGCTTTCATTTCTGTGCCCCTGGTTGTTAAAATTTGGAGAAGTAAAACATTTGAAAATGCAGATTTATAGTAACTTAATGGCCAAAAATTTAGGCATGTTGCAAAATTAAGAATATTTAGTAAAATATCCACTGTCCAGAGAGTGTCTGATTATTTCATCTGACATTAGCTTAATTGATTTAAAAATATTGTTAAATTTTAAATGTACACATGTATTCCTCACTAGTTTTGTCAGATACTATTTTGTTTCAGACCCACAGACTGCTCATGCCAGCCATCTTGAAAATTCACACCTTTGGTGAGAAGCAGATAGTATTGGCTGACTTAATAACAATTAGAAACAATTTCAAATTCATGCCCTACTGGCTGTGTTAACAGCTATACACGGAGTTCATTTTACCCTATATAATAAAGATGTAATATGCAAATGGCTTTTACACTGCGAAGCATAACGACCCATCACATAATGACTGGATCACAGATCAACAGGAGGGTGGGGCAGGGAGCTACAGTGGGTGGCTGAGAGCTACAGTTTGGGACAGGGCAGCAAGTTATGAGGGGAGAATGGGGGTGCAGGGGAAACTATAGAAGGGGACAGGGTAGCAAGCTATGATGAGGAGCTGGGAGGCGGGGCCCTACAGGAGGGCAGGGCAGTAGATGGAGAGCTACTGGAGGGCGGCAGTAAGCTACTGGTGAGCTACTGGCACACGGATTTGTGTGCTGGACTACTAGTTTAAATATAATAGTCTGTTGATTGGCAAAATAAATGTAAATTTTAATGCAATCACTTTGACACAATTTATTTTTTTCAGTTGTTGGAACTTCAACCAGTCCTGTATTAAAATCATCAACAATTTCTGCAGCAAAAACATCTGGACCAACACCAGTTATAACGACATCACTAAATCTTGCTGTGCAATCAACAGCTGGAACATCTCCCAAAGGTAGGATAAATACTTAGAGTGAAATTCACTCTAACTTTAACAAATAAAATTAGTAGTGCCTTTGTAATTTAATCACAGGAAAATAATTTAAGACATTGCACCTGTTGATATGAAGTTCTGTGCTAGTTTTCTATTTTGAAACTCATGTTATTTTTAACTGAATACAGAACCCTGCAATCTCAGTGGGACTCTTTGATAATGTTCCCTTAGATCACTTCCTGTTTGAGACTTATCCTATTGTGAAGGTTATATACACAAAGTTTATTTTTAGAAAAAAATAAAACCATCACTTCCTAAATCATAAAAATATCTTTCTAAATTTTGCAGTTCTCCACGTAAGTAGCACAGTTGACTATATTAATAACAAGCTGATTTTGTTAGTTATATTGGGCTGAGTATAGCTTTAATTTTCAGGTGTCAGTAGCAATGTCAATTCTATTCTGTTTTATGCTCTAAGTATAAAGGGGATTACCTTACCATCAATGAAAAGTAAAAGGAGACATTACGATCATTGAATTTAAAACTCAAGAAGTTATCCGAATACTGCATTTCCTATCCTGCAACACACATAAAATGAGGCAGATCATTCAGGTCCAATAATCAATGGAGAGAAAAAAATTGTTTGTTGACTGCCTGTGGCATTAAAAACTGGTAGAATATTAAATTCATAGAAATACCTGAAAATCATACATCCAAATGAATGGATGACTATAATTCCCTCACCTATCTTTCTTACCTCTCTATTCTTCATTCACCTTTTATTCTAATGCCAAGCTTAAACACATGCTGAGGATGGATGATGAGTAGTTCACTGGACCTGAATGGTTTGGAGATTCGTAAAGAAAAATGGTATTATAAATGTAAAAGGCCCAGTGCATAAAATTCGTGCACAGGAGAGGGGTCCCCTCAGCTCAGCCTGCACCCTCTCCAATTTGGGACCCCTTGGGGGATGTATGACTGCTGATTTTGGTCTGATCCCTGAGATCAGGCCAAAACTGGAAGTTGGACATTCCTCTCACAATCTGTGAACACTGGCTCCTAACTGCTCAACTGCCTACCTGCCTGATTGCCCTTGCCAGCCTGATCACCCCTAACTGTCTCTGACTGCCAGCCTGGTTGCCCCCAACAGCTCCCCTCTGCTGAACTGGTCACCCCCAACTCCGCCCTCCTGCTCATCTGGTTGCCCCCTCATTGCCCCCCTCTGCTAGCCTGATGACTCCTCACTGCCACCTGCCAGCCTGATCACCCCCAACTGTCCCCCCTCTCCCCTGCTGAGCTGGTCACCCCAGGCAGCCTGCTGTTCAGTCATTTGGTCATCCCTTGCTAAGCCCCTGCCAGCCTGGTTGCCCCATGTTACTGTCAGAATGTCATGACCAATTTATATATTATCCTTTTATTAGAATAGATATTCCACTATAGGCCCAATGCATGAAATTCATGCAAGAGTGGGCCTTCAGGCAGCTAGCTACCTGGATCCCTCACTTGCAGCCATAATGGCTGCAGCCCTGGCTTAGTCCAGAAGGATGTAGGCTCTAATTAGCAAATTATGCTTTTATTATATAGGTTATCTTTGCAATGTTTAATTTTAAGGTAAAGCCTTAAACTCCTAGAACTTCTATATCACAATGTGAGAAAGTATTATAGCAAGAGGGCATCTCTATATCTCTGTCTCTGTCTCTGTCTCTGTCTCTATCTCTTTCAGTTGCTCTAGCTGACACCTTGGTATAAATAAGTACTGACTTGACATGCAGACCCAAAAGGTTGAACTTTCACAGTTTTTGTGTTAACTACTTGGAACTTATGTTTTTTCAATGGGAAGATTCCTAACCCTGCTTACAATGATCTATGGTGAATAGCACTGTTCAAATAATAACACAAATCCTAACCACTATGTACATGACCATAAAAGGGCAGAGGTGGAAGTGAGTTTCCTGAAGGAATTCAGACCGAATTGTCATTTGTGATACTAAGAATGCATCTCACATTTTTTTATTGGAACAGAAACACTATAACTACTCATCTAAAGCATAACTGAGAATCATGTTTAGTAACTTTACAGTTGGGAGCTCCTATAAAGGGACGTTAAGCCCCCTTCTCTGAAGCAAATGCATAGAACGCTTGAGATTGATACACACACACACACACACACACACACACACACACAGCTCCTCATTCCTTTCCATGGCACATTTACTGCTTCATAGTACCTAGTTAACAAAAGTTAAATTCTAATCTGTTCTTCAAAAGATTTCCAAAAGGGCTTTAAATTATTGACATTCTATTGTAAAAATTATAATAAGCCAGAGAAGCTTTTGTTTTTGTTATTTTTATTATAAAAATGTTCAGATGAATCCAAAAGTAGAATACTATAAATAACATCCATATGCCCATCTCCCAGAGTCAATAATTATCAAGATTTTACCACATTTACTTCATTTTTTTCTCCTTCTATTCTTCTCCCTCCCTCTGTCCTTTCTTTCTTTCTTTTTTTCTTTCTCTTCTCTCTTTTTATTTTTTTGGGGGTGTAAAGTATTTAGAAGGTAATCCAGAATTTATGCCATTTTACCTCTACAAACTAAATGTGCATCTAAAAATATGGACAATTACCCTGGGTAGGTGGCTCAGTTGGTTGGAGCCTAACCTGTATAAAAAATGGTTGTGGATCTAATCCTTGGCCAGGGTGCATATGGTAAGCAACCAACCAATGTTTCTCTCTCACATTAATATTTTTCTCCCTTCATCTCTCTAAAATCAATAAAAAAAAGTATCCTCAAGTGAGAATATGTGTATATATACATTTATATGTGTACTATAGGCCCAGTGCATGAAACTCATGCATGGGGCTAGGGGTGGTGATGTCCCTCAGCCCAGACTGCACCCTCTCCAATTTGGGACCCCAGAAGTCAGACATCCTTCTCACAATCCAGGACTGTTGGCTCCCAACAGTTCGCCTGCCTACCTTCCTTATTGCCCCTAACCACTTTTGCTTGCCAACCTGATCATCCCCTAACCACTCCCATGCCAGCCTGATTAATGTCTAACTGCTCCCTTGCCAGCCTGTTTGCCCCCAACTTCCCTCCTCTGCTGGCCTGGTCACCCCTAACCACCCTCCCCTGCAAGGTTGATCACCTCCAACTGCCCTCCCTTGAAGGCCTGGTGCCTCTCAACTTCCTTCCCATGCTGGCCATCTTGTGGTGGCCATCTTGTGTCCACATGGGAGCAGCCATCTTTGATCATTTGGAGGCAGCCATCTTGTGTGTTGGAGTGATGGTCAATCTCCATATTACTCTTTTACTAGATAGGATAGAGGCCTGGTGCATGGGTGGGGGCCAGCTGGTTTGTCCTGAAGGGTGTTCTGGGTCAGGGTGGAGGTTCCCCTGGGGCATGAGGTGGCCTGAGTGAGGGGTCTGTGGTGGTTTGTAAGCTGGCCACGCCCCCCTGGCAACCCAAGCAGAGGCCCTTATATCTGGAATTTATTTACCTTCTACAATTGAAACTTTGTAGCCTTGAGTGGAGGCCTAGGCAGGCAAGGGCAGGCAGAAAGCTTGGCTTCCTATGTTGCTTGGGAATCCCAAGCTTCCCTCCTGCTCTCTGTGGCTGTAGACAGCTTGGTTGGGTTCATTTGCATACTCGCTCTGATTGGCTGGTAGTAGTGGCTGGTGGTGTAGCAGAGTGATGGTTAATTTGCATATTACTCTTTTATTAGGTAGGATATATATACAATTTAACCTGTTAACCAGGGAGTTCCCTTTTTAATGACGCAACCTGTAATGGGCGCGTACTCTTTCACTAGGACGTGTTAGTATGTCACACCCAGAGGACGTAATTTCATATTATTTTTTTTATTTATACTTAATGAAAATAAATGAAATATATATATATATGTATTTTCATTTATTTATATATATAAAGCACAAAGGAAAATACAAAATTACCAAAAAAAAAAAAATAGAAAAGAATACCGATAAAAAAAAATGGACACGTCAAATTAAAAAATTATAAATTTTACAAACAATGAGAAAGATTACAAAAAATAGCAGAAACCGTTTTGGTTCAGTGGATAGAGCGTCGGCCTTCGGACCTAAAGGTCCCGGGTTTGATTCCGGTCAAGGGCATGTTCTTTGGTTGCTGGCACATCCCGTTAGGGGTTTGCAAGAGGCAGCTGATCAATGTTTCTCTCTCATCTCATCGATATTTCTAACTCTCTATCACTCCCCTTTCCTTTCTCTCTGTAAAAAAAAAGTAAAATATATTTTTTTAAAATTACAAAAAATATATACCATCCCTCTCGGGCCGCAACATATATTTCAAGGACGGATTCATACGTCCTACCCATTCCCGATATTGTTTACGTTTGACGTATTTATAGGTCCCGCTTGGTTAACAGGTTAATTTAAAGCTACAATGTCATTATCAAATCCCTTAAATTAAGAATTTCTTAGAATCATACAATATTTGTTTAGAGGGGTTTTAAGGGTTTTAGTAACCAAAAATATAGCAGTGAAGATGGATTAGGAGAAGGAAAGTATCTATTCTGGGATCTCTCAGGAAAGCAGTGGAAGGCAGATGAAGAAGGAAAGGCAGGCCCTGATGGGCAAGATCTGCTCTGATGCAGTATGAGAAACGGAAAATCTGGAGTGGTGGTCAGGATGTGTGGGGCCATTAGGCAGCGGTGGGGGCAGGGGGTCGTGGAATGATGCCTAAAAGGAAATGAGCGGAGAAGGAAGGCAGAGAAAGGAAAGGAAAGAGAAACATCAATTATTATTATTATTATTAGAGAGAGAGAGGAAAAGAGGGAGAAAGGAATGGTGAGAGAGAGACAGACAGACAGACATACAGACATTCATGCATTCATTGGTTGATTCTTGTATGTGTCCTGATCAGGGATGGAACCCATAGTATTGTACTGGGGCAAGGCTCTAACCAAGGGAGCTACCCAGCCAGACTTAGATGTTTTCTTACCTTCAGACCTGTGAGGCGATTTACATATTAGGGAGTTTTATACAAAGTCTCATCCTCCAAAATAACTACCTTTAGATTATATAATAATATCACAAAAAGTATATCTATAGTGAGGTGATTCCATATCCCCCCCTGCCGCATACCCAAAAGGTAATTTTAGCCACAATAGAAGTGCTTAACAAAAAACAAGCAAAAAGTATGCCATTGATAAGCTTCTTTATTTTCTTTTTCTTTTTTTTTAATTAAGAAATTCATTTTATTTTCAAACATTTTTAGCAGAACTCCCCACAACAATCTTTCTTATTTTTTTTAAATCATAAAAATATATTTTATTTTTTTAACTTGTTTATTTTTTTTTATTAAATTATTATCTTTATTTTCATTATAAGGCTTACCAATCAGATTTTTCTTTTTGTTTAAAGATTCAAAGACACTTATTTAATAGTGCTTATGTGTATCCTAAAGCATGTACACTTTCTTTCTCCAGAAAAATGGCAGAAATGTTATCAGAAAAGTGAAATGTGCAACAGCAAGGGTATTCTTACAGCAATGGCAGAGGTAATAGAGTTTGGCCTGGAACAGAGCTTGCTCTCAGAGATCTACCCAATTAGAGAGCTAGGACTTGATCTCTTCCTAGATGTATATCAAGTGCACCACCCTTTGGTTCAAAGGCCAATGGCCAGAGTTAAAAATGAACATTTGGCAAACACTGAAAAACATCATAATAAAATGGTTACAAAAATAAACCTGAAATTTCATTCTTAAAATGTAATTATTTTTCCAGCTTGATTTTTGAAACATTTCATAGTCAATTTTTGATGAGCTGAATTATAATGAAGAAATAAAAATTTCTCAGCAGAGATACTGAACATTTTTTACGCTAAGTAGATGTTCAATTTCAACTAAGGTCATTAAAGGAGCCAGATACTTTGGCCATGTCTTCCATATAGGATACCAGCTATGGTGATGTTCAAGATGTACTTCCTTTCTAGAAACTAACATGCATATATAAAGAGCAGACTTTTAGAAGGCATTTTTGTGAAAAATGTTTGTATTATTAGTGGGAAGAAAATTGGTTTGAGTACCTCTTTTTCCATATTTTTTTAAAATTTTATCCATTGTCTTTATATTCCTTAAGTTTGAACTGAGTATGAATCACCTGAGATATCTTTATACATGACCTCTTAGGCTTTCCTTTTTGCGGAATTCCTAAGTGGTAAAGTTGACATTTTGCTTTTAGTTTATTTTTACAAAATATGAAATGTTTACAAGTTGACATTTTCTGGGAACCCTTGTGTCCTGAATGGAATTAAATACAGTTCTAAAAGGTTATTTTGGAAAGTGTTATAAATGATAGTTTACTAAATAATTTTACAAAGAATAGAAGGCTTCTCTGATTTAATCTTTTATAAATATCTGTTGACTCAAAATTATATTATGTCCCTAAAGATATATAGCTATAATACCCTCTTAATGTTCACATTAAATTCAGTCTATTTCTTTTATTGACCACTTTAAAGTACTCAATCATTGTTTTTCACATAAAATTAACAGGAATAACAATTCTCATCAGTACCTACATTTTAAAAATTTATCTTTATTGTGAAAGTATTACAGATGCCCCCTTTCTCCCTCATTGACCCCCTCCATCCCATCCTCATCCCACTCCAACTATTGTCTGTGTTCTTAATTTATGAGTATATGCATATAAGTTTTTGGTTAATCTCTTCCCTCTCACCTCCTTCCTTAAATTTGCAATCATAAAGATGCATTTACACTTCAGAACATTAACATGTTTAGCACATAGAACTGTACTACAAGTTATATGTAGAATCCTTATCTACATTTGAAAGTGAATTCTTATACATTAACAACAAACCTAAAATAAATTATATACTGTTTATGTTACTGACATTTTATGCTGATAAAATATGATGATCATCAGCATGATCACAAGATCACTGTTCCGAATCCATTTGGCTCTTCAGTTTTCCAAAGACCAAGAATGAAAATGAACCCAAATATAAGATTTGGGTTAAATGTACTTTGGCAAACGTTCAACTGTATTACATCGCTCTTCTCTCTAACAAACATGAATTCAAGACATGTATAAAAGAAATGGGTCAAGGGCTTCAGAAACTTAAAGATTATATAAATTTGACATTTTCTCTGTTTCATTATATATGTCCTGATTATTTCCTGTAATCATCTCTTGAATTTTCAATATACAAGACATATACCAGTAAAACATAATGGCAAGGTAATTATAAAAATTCAATTTGGCCTGTTATTGGTACCAAGAGTCTCAAGAGCAGGGATGAAGTGGAAACAAAGGCACCACATCTGGCTAGAGAGGACACTTTATTTACATCATTCCATCTCTTTACAATGTGAGCATGATGTGAGTGGGCAATGTACCATCTCAAATCTAGCTTTTAGGAATAATGTTTTGTTCATTGGTGTCTTCTTTTAAAATATAACTACATGTGAATTAAAAAAAAAACCTTTTGGGAAGTCTTAAGTACATCTGTTCACTCCACATTTTAATTCACAAATGCTGCTCATTTACAGTCACGGTCCATTGCTGTAATAACCTATTTCCCTTGGAGTGAGCAGTAGACAAAAATTCCCACCACCTTAGAGATGTTTGTCCTCAGCAGATCTCCAAAGGTCTTATCTTCTTCTTGAGGTTTCTAAGTATCTTTTAAAAAAATTATATATATATAAAATTTTATTTTTCCCATCACTATTCATACCCCTATGCCCTCTTCCACCTCCACCCAAATTACATAGCCCCCAAAATTATATAGCTCTAGCCAGCTTGCCATTGAAAGCCTTCTCTGGAGTAGGGTTTTAAAGCATTAGATAAAGTTTACAGAGGCAAATAGTTCCTCCTCCCAATAAAGCATTATCATATATATAAGAACCAAGCTTATATACTGTATGTCACATAGTAAAAATGGGACCTGTGCCCTAATCACAAAAGGACATTCTAATGTGTTTTACAAAAGAAGGAAATACTGATGGTTATGGATATCTTGGTGGTTAGTCATGCTCACTAAAAGCAGAGCTTTGTCCCTTTGTTCATTCCCTGTCCTGTATGAGTGTCACCTTATCTGAAACAACATTCACTACATGCAGGTTATATGCCAGGAATTACTGTTGATAGCACTCAGATTAAAAAGATGACTGAGAATTAGATGCTGTCCTTCAGAGTATAAGAGTGGGCCTTATACTGAGTGAACACTCCGAATGTTTCATAAAAGAACAAATGAATTAATTATAGGAGTCTGAAAATTTATTTTTAAGTTATGTTTATTTGGAAGTCTGAATGTCATAACCAAATTAAACTAAATAACATGTGATTATGAAAGAATAAAGACGTTATTCCTAGATGCTATTGACTAGGGCATTGCATCTCCATTGGGAAAAATAAAATGATTTCAAATCATTTGCTTTCACAATAATATTTTAGTACATTTAAAGATCCCCAAGTAGCAAACTATAGTAAAAATTTGTTTTGTTAGTCTTTCATACAAAGAAAACTATGTGTGTGAATACACATATATGTGTGTGAGGTAGCTTGGACAAAAGATCAAATTAAAGATAGGCAAAGGCTTACCCAGTACCTTCGAGCGGGATTACAGTCCACCTCCAGATTTGACTTATTTTTATTTATTCCTTGGCAGGTGAGATGAAATTATGATAAATAATAATGTCATCTATCTTATCAAACTAGGAACGACCAACAAGGAATCCTTACAAACACCTCTGCCGCCAACACTTGCTTCATTAACCACGACAGTTAAAGGTGAAGGTGAGTAATAATATTTTGCCCCGATTTTTCTTTTCTCTTTATAATTTGCTTACCATCATATCATAAGCCATACTGAATACCCTTTAAAGCACACAATTCAATGGTTTTTAGTATATTTATGAGGTCGTGTTACCATCGCCACTATCTGATTACAAATTATTTTTATTACCCCAAGGAAAAAAATCCTGTATCTGTTGCTAATCACTTTCTATCCCCACTTTTCCCCCACCACTGGCAACCACTAAACCACATTCTGTCTTTGGAGATTTGCTTATTCTAGAAATTCCATATAAATGTAATCATATGACCTATGACCTTTTATGTCTGACTTCTTTCACTTACCATAATGTTCTGAGGTTTATTTATTGTAGCATGTTTCTATAGCTCATTCTTTTCCATGCCTGAATAATATCTCATTAGATAGATCACTATATTTTGTTGACCTATTTATTAGTTGATGGACATTTGAGCTGTTTCTACATTTTGATTATCTATATTATAAAAGGCCAGTGACTGTAACACCATAAGGCCATAACGACCAAATGACCAGTCAACAGGAGGTGAATGGAGCACTTCTTAGGACCTCTCCTCACTCCCACCCCCACCCCCAGGGTGCTGGCAGCATCCATGGAGTGTCATGGGGCACCAGGAGCATCTGAGTAGTATGTGAGGCGTCGCTGGGTGGTGGATGTGGCCCTGATGGCAGGCTAGGCCTAGGGGACCCTACATGTGCATGATTTATCATGTTCTGGGCCTCTAGTTATAAATAATACTGCTAAAAACATGCATGTAAAAGTTTTTGTTTGAGCATGTTTCCATTTCTCTTGAGTATATACTTTGAAGAACTATGTTACATGGTAATTCTATGTTTAACTCTTAGAAGAACTGATTTCCAAAACATATGTACTGTATTACATTCCCACCAGAAATGTATGAGGATATAAATTTTCTATTTCTAACTAATACTCTATATTTTTATCATAGACATTCCAGAGGGTGTTAAGTGATATCTCATTGTCGTTTTGGTTTATGTTTTTCTAATGACTACTGAGATTGAGCATCTTTTCATGTACTTGTTGGTCATTGTGTGTCTTCTTTGGAGAAATGTTTATTTAAGTCCTTGCCCATTTTTTATTTGAGCTATGTGACTTTTTATTATTTAGTTGTAAGAATATCTTATATATTTTTAACTAGATTGTTATTGAATAGATAATTTGCAAATACTTTCAATCATTCGGCAGGTTGTCTTTGCATTCTTTTGAGCTGTCCTTTGAAAGACTAAAATCTCTAATTTTGATGAAGTTAAATGTAGCTATATTTTCTTTTGTTATGTAGAGGAAGCAAAACTTTACCCATCATATGTTTTTAGCTGGGACCTTTAACAACAAGACATACAAACAAAAGAAAAGTAGTTTATTAACACATGCAGTGTACATCATGTGAAAAACCTAAAACAAAGAGTAACTCAAAGCAGTTGCTTAGAATTCAGCTTATATACCATCTTCAATAACAACAACAACAAAACAATGAATTTGTTTTTTTTTTAAATGACAGGAGAGTGATAGGACAAAGAAAACTTGAACCTCCCAAGGGTAGCAAACTGAAGGAAGATAAATAGATAAATATACGAAAGGAAACTAATGGGCTAAGTTTTGATTGCAAATTCCCCTGGCCTGATAAGAGTCTGTCTCCAGTAAAAAGGAATTTGTATCCTGCCTTTAGGCAGAAAAGGGGAAACTTTTCCTGCATTTGTTGCTTCTTAATTGCCTTTAGCTTTAAATTTTTATGTCAAAGAGACATATTTTGGGGTGACATTCTAGTTTTTTTTTTTTTTAGTCACTGTGCAGTAGGATTAAATCTAAGAAGCCATTGCTCAACTCAAGTAACAAGATTTATACCAATGTATTCTTCTAAGGATGTTATAGTTTTAGCTCTTACATTTAAGCCTGATTTTGTATATGGTGTGGGGTATACAGCTGGCTTTCTTCTTTTGCATGTAATTATCCAGTTGTCCTAACATCATTTGTTGGAAAGACCATTCTTCCTTGATTTGAATCATCTTGGAACTCTTGATGAAAATTAGTTGGCTATAAATGCATGGGTATTTTTCTGGACTCTCCAATCTATTCCATTTATCTATATGTCTATTCGTATCCAGAATTATCACTGTAGGTTACTATAGCTTTGCATTAACTTTTGAAGTAGATTACTATAACTTTGCATTAATGTTGTGAGTGCTCCAACGTTTTTCTTCCTTTTCAAGATTGCTTTGACTATTCTAAGTCATTTGAATTTTCATATAAATTTTAGGATAAATTTGTCAATTTCTGCAAGAAGTCAGTTGAGAATGTGATAGGGATTGCATTGAATCTATTTGGAAAAATTAGTTTGGGAAGTATTATCATTTTAACAATTTTAATTCTTCCAATCCACGAATGTGAACTGCCTTTCCATTTATTGAGGTCTTTTTAAGTTTCTTTGGATAATGTTTATTGTTTTCAGGATAGAAGATTTGATCTTGTTCAATTTATCCGTAATATTTTATTCATTGTGATGCTGTTAGAAATGGAATAATTTTATTAATTTATTGTTAAATGCTACTATATAAAAGTACAATTTATTTTCAAATATTAACATTGTATCCTGCCACCTTATTGAGCTAATTTATTTATTCTAGTGTGTGTGTGTGTGTGTGTGTGTGTGTGTGTGTGTTCCTTAGGATTTGGCATATCCAAGATTCATCTGCAACTAGAGATATTTTACTTTTTGACCCAGTGGTCCCATTTATTTTCTACTCTGAATGCCTTTAATTTTATTTTCTTGCTTATGTGCCTTGGCTAGAACCTTCAATACCACATTGATGGAAGTGGTGAGAGGGAATATTAAGAAAGTCTTCTTTTATTATTAATATGTTGAGTGTTTTTATCATGCAAGAGTGTTGCATTTTATCATATGCATTTTCTTACTATATTGAGATTATTATATGGTTTTTATCTCTCGTTTTATTAATATGTCATATGACATTTATTTCTGTATATTGAACAACCTTTATTTCTGGTTAAATCCCACTTGGTTATTATATATTACGCTTGTTGTATGTTGCTGGATATGATTTGTATTACTTTGCAAATAATTTTTGCGTCTATACTTATAAGATGGAGGTTAACAGTTTTCTTGTGATATTTTTGGTATGAAGTTAGTTCTAGTCTCATGAAATGAATTAGGAAGTGTTCCCTTCTCTATCAATTTTTGGAAGAGTTTATAAAGAATTATTCTTTAAACATATGTCATATTTCACCAGTAAAGCTATCTGGCCCAGACTTTTCTTTATGAAAATTTTTGAATTAGTATATCCACCTTTTTGTAGAGGTTGTTATAGGTCTATTCAGATTTTTTTCATGTCTCAGATTGCTAGTTGGTGATTTACTAAGAAGTTGTCCATCTCCTCTAGGATATCTGAATTGTTGGCACACAATGGTTCATAGCATTGCCTTATAACCCTTCTTATTTTTATTAAGATGGTAGTAGTGTCCTCTCTTTAATGCATGATTTTAGTAATATGAGCCCTCTTTATTGTCAGGCTAACCAGGTTTATCAATTTTGTTGATCTTTAAAAGAACCCAACTTTTTATTTTATTAATTTCTCTATTTCTTTCCTTTCTAATCTTTAGTATGTTTTTTTTTTCCTTTTGCTCCCATTAGTTTGCTTGTCTATTTCTAAATTCTTAATTTGATAGGTTAGGTTTTTGATTTAAGATCATATTTCTTTTTAAGTATAGCTGTTTATACCAATATATCTCCTTCTCAGATTTTTGCTACATCCCATAATGTTCATGTTTTCATGTTCATTCATCTCAAAGTATATTCTAAAATCCCTTGTAATTTAATCCTTGACCCATAGGTTATTTAGGATTATATTATTTCATACCTACACATTTATTGATTCCTCCCTCACTATTTTTTAAAAAATATTTTTCTTTTGTGTATTTACTATCTATGAGAAGTTTCCCCCTTCAAGCATCTAATTTTAAAATTAAATTTATTTAAAAATAAATAATATAGAGATTATTCTAAAGTATACAATGGATATCTTTGCCTCATTAAGCAGAGCATAATAAGCATTGATTGCAAGTTCTTTGCACTTTTTTAAGGTACTATTTTTATAAAACAAGAAACCATAAAATTATTAGAGAAATCCACAGGCAGAAAAATCACATACATATGCTGAAGTAATTTCTTCACCTCGGGCAATGGAAACTAAAGAGAAAATAAACAAATCGGACTACATCAAAATAAAAAGCTTCTGCACAGCAAAAGAAATCATCAACAAACAACAAGAAAGCCCACTGCATGGGAGAGCATATTTGCCAATGTTGTCACTGATAAGGATTTAATCTCCAACATTTACAGGGAACTCATATAACTTAACAAAAGGAAGATAAACAACCTAATCAAAAAAATGGACAATGGACCTAAATAGATACTTTTCCAAAGATCACATAAGGAAGTCCAGGGGACAACTGAAAACGTGTTCAAAGTCACTAATCATCTGAGAGTGCAAATCAAAACAACAATGTGGTACCATCCTACACTGATCAGAATGCTATCACCAACAAATCAACACATGACAAATGCTGGCCAGGATGCAAAGAAAAAGGAAGCCTCGTGTACTGCTGGTGGGAATGCAAATGGTGCAGCCGCTGTGGAGAACACTGTGGAGTTTCCTCAAAAAACTGAAAATGGAAGTCTCATTTGACCCAATGATCCCACTTCTAGGAATATATATAAGAAACTAGAAACACCAATCAGAAAATATATATGCACCCCTATGTTCATAGCAGCACAACTTACCTTAGCTAAGATTTGGAAACAACCTAAGTGCCCATAAGCAGATGAGTGGATTAAAAAACTGTGGTACATATCTACTACTCTGTGGTAAAAAAGAAGAAATTTTGACCATTTGCAACAGCATGGATGGAATAAGAAAGCATTATGCTAAGCAAAATAAGCCAGTCAGAGATAGATAAATATCACATGATCTCACTCATTTATGAAATATAATGAACAACATAAACTGATGAATAAAACCAGATCTAGAGACAGAGAAGCATCAATCAGACCATCAAACCTCAGAGGGAAGGTAGGGGAGGGTGGGGGTAAGGGAGAGAGATCAACAAAAGGACTTGTATGCATGCATATAAGCCTAACCAATGGACGCAGACACCAGGAGGGGAGGGGGTGAGAGCACGAGTCGGGGATGGGGGTAATGGGGTAATAAGGACACATAGTTAATACCTTAATCAATAAAGAAAATAAATAAATAAATAAATAAATAAATAAATAAATAAGGTACTATTTTTAAATAGTGCATTTGCTTCCCATCTTGAGAAATGTATTATCATTTTGGATTGTTTTATCAATTTTATTTAAAACATTATTTAAAGACTAGAGGCCCGGTGCATGAAATCTGTGTATAGGGATAAGGGGGGGGTGGGGGCGAGATTATCCCTCAGCCCAGCCTGCACCCTCTCCAATCTGGGACCCCTTAAGGGATCAGGCCTAAATGGGCAGTTGGATATCCCTCTCATGATCCAGGACTGCTGGCCCTCAACTGTTCACATGCCTGCCTTCCAGATTGCCCCTAACCTCTTCTGCCTGTCAGTCTGATCACCCCCTAACCACTCCCCTGCCAGCCTGATTGATGTCTAACTGCTCCCTTGCCAGCCCGTTTTCCCCCAACTTCTCTCCTCTGCTGACCTGGTCATCCCTAACTGCCCTCCCCTGCAGGGTTGATAGCCCCCAACTGCCCTGCCTTGCAGGCCTTGTGCCTCCCAACTGCCCTCTCCTGCTGGCCATCTTGTGGTGGCCATCTTGTGTCCATATGAAGGCAGGATCTTTGACCACATGGGGGCAGCCATCTTGTGTGTTGGAGTGATGGTCAATCTGCATATTTCTCTTTTATTAGATAGGATGGAGGCCTGTTGCATGGGTGGGGGCCAGCTAGTTTGCCCTGAAGAGTATCCCGGATCAGGGTGGGGCGGCCTGAGCAAGGAGTCTGTGGTTGTTTGCAGGCTGGCCACGCCCCCCAGCAACCCAAGTGGAGGCCCTGGTATTTGGGATATATTTACTTTCTACAGTTAAGTATCTCTTGTGCTAAATTTTCCTTATTTCAATTTAAATATGGATTAAAAATCAAATTTTGTCTTTTGTGCATTTCACCTAACACAAAGTTCTAAGAATTAAAAAATCATGAATTTAAAAAACACAGACCCTAAAATTAAGGCCAATGAAATCTCGATATTGCAATATAAATTAATATTTCTCAACTAAAATAAGGTTCGTCAAACCTAAAACATATATTACTACCTACACTTATAATGCTATTTTAGCCTATAGAACAAAGCAGACACACAGGGGTATTTTGGGGAAAATGTGTGTAGAACAAAGCAGACACACAGGGGTATTTTGGGGGAAATAAGACCTTTCTTTACTCCCTCAAATATTTCAGACACCTCTGAAGTTTATACCCATTTCCATTTATTCTTCCTCACATGGAGTGTGATTGCTATAGCTTGTTTTAATTTATTTCAATTTGTTTACATGCCAATTCCTGAATGATTTTTGTCTGAAGACATATGTATCCACTGAAAACCAGAAAAAGAGCAAACCATATAAGTTTAAAGAACAGCTTTAAGATTGGTTTTCTTTTTAATCTGAGGAGGCAGTCACCTTTTGGCAGGCATCCAGAATCTACTATATGTGAACCCAAAATGCAATTAGGACAATTTTTTCCAAAAAGATAATAATAAAAGACAATCGTTCTCATATATTAATACATTTCAGTCATCCATTTTTTCTCTCCTGAGATTGGGATTTGAAATATTTCAGTATACTGGTAAAATTTGATAATTTACACCTCGGACAGCATCAGTCATGCATCTTTTATTCTATTCATTTAAGTTCACCATGGATATTTTAAAATATTTTGATTGCCTTCAAATCATTCAAGATTCCTTCCATTGCCTAATTGGAGTAATTGACAATCCACACTGAATTGAATGTAAACTCTTGTTCTGCTCTCATTTGTGAAATATATTCCACATTAATAATAGGCAGCTCTCTAAGCAAAAGCGATGATGTTGCATCCCAGCTATTCCATTATTCTACTCTTTTGTTTGTTATTTTCTAATCTGGCCACTCTCCACATCTTTCTTATCTATATATTATCTTTCCATCACCAAAATTGTCAAGTCTGCTTTATACTATGAAATTCTTTAGACCCTCAGGATAGCTTTTCATGTTTTCTAATTTTAGCTCAACAAAAGAATTGTTCTCCAAAGATTACTGAAGAGAATCTCATGTTCTGATATTTTGCAAGCATTTGTTTTTTGGAATTGTAGTGAGAGGCAAATTTTTATTCCCACATGTACCTCCATCCTCAAGTATTGAGTTTCTGCACCTTGGATAACCTTCCCACTTCCATGCTATCACAAACATTAGTTTCTGCCTTCTTGCTACAATAGGACCTTTCTTTACGCCCTCAAATATTTCAGACACCTCTAAAGTTTATACCCATTTTCACTTATTCTTCCTCACATGCGGTGTGATTGCTACTTGTTTTAATTTCTTTCAATTTGTTTGCATGCCAATTCCTTAATGATTTTTGTCTGAAGACATATGTATCCACTGTCTATGAGATCATCTTGAAAACTATTAATTTCTCTAGCATAAATCTCTCAACTGCATTAAGAATTTGCATTATATGATAGGCACCTCTTGCTACAGAATGGAAACTGATTGACACTTCTGGAAGGTACCCAGCCAATTCTTGATTTCAGCCCACTTTGTGACAGAAATCTATTAAATTGCTTTCTCCCCATCTCTAGCCAATAGTCTATTTACCTAACACTAAGTATGCACTGACCAGCATGCCAGCCTTGTCTTTACTAACCCAATGTTCCCATACTAGATTTTGAAAAGACCGAAAGGCATCAATCATTTTGTTTTTATAACATTTAGGCAAATATAGATTGTTTCAAGTAAATTTATTTCAATGTTATTTTTGGAAACTCGGCTTATCTTTGCTATTAATTTCCTTGATAAAAACAATAAAGTATAATTAAAAGTTATCCTATTTTATTTTCTGTTATCCCTCTCCTTTTGACTATTTAACCTACAGGAAAATTGTTTCCCAGACAGCATGGAAGCTATGGGAGCACCTTCAACTATTTTCACTTTCTTACTGGAAGTGGGTAGCTCCGTGATTAACCTTTGCATCAAGAAAACTTGGATTCAGATCCTGGTTCTCTCCTGCTCTAACTTATGTGACTATGAGAAAAATATTTAACTTTTCTGAGTCTTATATTTAAAATTGTTATCATAATTATTGATTTATAAGATTACTCTTATAATTTAATTATTGGCCCAGTACACAAAATTCATACATGGGGTGGGGAGGGGGTGTGTGTGAAGGTTGTTCCTCAGCTTGGCCTGCACCCTCTCCAATCTGGGACCCCTCGAAGGATGTCCTACTGCTGGTTTAGAGGGATCGGGCCTGACTGCCTGATTGCCCCTAACCACTTTGCCTGCTGGCTAGCTCACCCTCAACTGCCCCCCACTGCTGGTCTGCTGGGCCCCAAATGCTCCCCCCCCCCGCCAGCCTGATCATGTCCAACTGCCCCTTGTGCCAGCCTGCTCACCCCCAAATGCCACTCCTGTTAATCTGCTCATCCCATCTTCCCTCACCACTGTCCTGATCACCTCTAACTGATTCCCACTGATGGCCTAACTACCCCCAACTAGCCCCCTGCTGGTCTGCTTACCCCCAACGACCCTGCTTCCCACTAGTCTGATCACCACAACTGCTGCCCATCCTGGCCTAATGACCTCCCCCCACCCCCGGCAATCCAAGTTCCCAGTCCTTCCTTTCTTTCTTTCTCCTTCCTTCCTTTCTCCCTTCCTTCCTTCCTCTCCTTCCTTCCTTCCTTCCTTCCTTCCTTCCTCTTCCTTCCTTCCTTTCCTTCTTCCTTCCTTCTTTCTTTCTTTCTTTCTTTCTTTCTTTCTTTCTTTCTTTCTTTCTTTCTTTCTTTCTTTCTTCTTTCTTTTCTTTAAGTGGAGGCCAGGGCCAGCTAGAAGCAAGTATCTTGGATTTATTTATCTTCTATAATTGAAACTTTGTAGTTTGGAGCAGAGGCCACAGCTGGCAAGGGCAGGTGGGAAACCTGGCTTCCTCCATTGCCAGGGGCAACCCAAGCCACCTGCTCGCTCCAGCTCCTTTATCATTGCCATTTCTGTTGGGATTTATTTATCTTCTATAATTAAAACTTTGTAACCTTAAGCAGAAGCCAGGGCCAGCTAGAAGCAGGTATTTGGGATTTATTTATCTCCTATAATTGAAACTTTATAGCCTTGAGTGGAGGCCAGGGCCAGCAAGGGTGGGCAGGAAGCTGGGCTTCCTCCATCATTAGGGCAACCTAAGCATCCTGCTCACTCTAGGTCCATGGCTGTCACCATCTTGGTTGGATTAATTTGCATACTCACTCCTGATTGGATGATAGGCATAGCGTGTGGGTGTAGTGGGTGTACAGTCGATTTGCATGTTTGGCTTTTATTAGTGTAGATGAGACAATCAATTAGAAACATATAGGAGAGTCTAAAGTGCCTCTTAGTTTCTTTAATATAATTAACTAGATCACCAAAAGGTAGAAATCAAACTGCTGAATTTCTAAATCTTGATCAGATTTAGGTTGTATGTAACTGGGTGTTAATATGAATATTAATGATATTATCTGATGATTAGTTATACCTCTGATGGCTGTTTACATTCTTTTTACATGATGAGAAGCCACAACCAACAATGTGACAAAGAAAGAGAAAGAGTTAACTACCAAAAGTGCAACAGTGACAGATCTTCCACTTCCAAAAGATGTTTCCACATTACCAAGTTCCCAAAACAAGAGTAAGTATAAGAATGTGTGCTAAAATGTTAACCTAGTGTGTTAAATAAAATTAGATTTGGAATGTTTTCTAGACCTCTGCTACCAAAGAACCATGCCCACTTATATTTTCTCCTCGCCTCTACCAAATAAGAGAATCATTTGGCAACTTTGCTTTGTACAGTGATACTCCAATAGAAAAATTCTTAAAAAAACAAATATCTGAAACTGACTAGGTAAGAAGACTGAAACAACCTAAAACAATGATAAACATGGCATTAGAAATTTAAAATAGTTCCATGAAGAAAGTTCAATACAGGGTGGCTTCACTTGCTAATTCTGTAAAATATCTGAAAAGAAACAATAATTAGTTTCAAATTATTTCAAGAAGTTGAAGAGGGAACAGCACATAAGTAATTATCTGAGGTGAGTGTTATCTTAATACCAGAGCTAGAAAAGAATAAAAAGAAAAAGCAAGCCAACTAAACTACAGACCAAATCCCTCATAAATATAGACACAAATATCCTACTAAAATATTAACAAACCAAATTTAATAACATATAAAAAAAATAAAAATATGAACAAGTAGGATTTATCCAGGAATGCAAGATTGGTTTAGCATTCTATAATGTAATATACTATACTAATAGAATCAGTAGATACAGAAGAGTACTTGACAAAATTAAACACACACTAATAATTAAAACTCTATATAAACTAGAAATAAAATGATACTACCTTAAACTGATAAAGGACATAAATGAAAAACATACAGCAAACAATATATGTAATAGTGAAAAACAATGTATTTCCTTTAAGATCTGGAACATGGAAAAGATGTCCATTCTCATTACTTCTGTTCAAAATTATAACAAAGGATTCTATTAATAGATAGTACAATAAGGTAGTAGTTAGATCTCTACTAGTAGTTCTATTCATCCAGATTGGAAAGAATAAAACAAAACAGATTTTCTTAGCAGGCTACATCATTATCTGTGTAGAAAATCCACAGGATCCACAAACTATACAAATTAGTAAAAACAAACAAACAAACAAACAAAAAACATTTTATAACACAGGATATAAGATATATAAAAATAAATGACTATATATTAGCAATGATGATTCTAAAATAAAATTAAGGAAGTAATGTCATTTACAATTGCATGAGAAATAATAAAATAGATATATAGGAATAAATGTAACAATATAAGTGAAAGATTTGTACACTGAACTATAAAACATTTCTGTGAGAAATTCAATATCTAATTAAATAGAGATGTTACATAATCACAGATTATAAGATTCAATATTTTAAGATAGCAGTTCTCTCCAATTTTATAAATAATTAATTAACATATTCAATAAAATACCTGTGAGAATCACTGCAAAATTAAGAGCAAGGGTTTGTTTTTGTTTTGTTGTGTGCTTTTTTTATATATTGATATGCTGATTCTAAAATATATATAGAAATGAAAAAGACCTAGAGTAGACAAATTACTTTTCTAAAAAACAATTTACTCTAAAGCTATAGTAATCAAGCTAGGATTTTATTGAGGTAATGAATGTTAGTAGTAGCATTATTCATAATAGTCACACTGGAAATAATCCAAATATTCATTGACTGGTTAAATAGACTATTCTATTGGATTTTTCGTTTGGAATGAATTTGGAATATTCCAAAACATGGGATATTCATATAATGGAATACTATTCAGGAATTTAGAAAAGCAAAATACTAATACGTGTTATAACACAATGAACCTCAAAGACATGCTCAGTGACAGAATGACAGAATCCTTTCCAAAAATATTATATACCATGTAATTCCATTTATATGAAATATCCAGAATTAATATTTTTATAGGCTAAAAGGGTAGACAGTGGCTGCCTAAAGCTGAAGGTGGGACTGGGGATTGATTGCTAAAAAGTCTCAAGTGAATTTCTTGTGTTAACGAAAATGTTCTAAAACTAGATTATAGTGATAGTTGCACAACTTTATAACTTTATTTAAATGTATTGAGTTGTATACTTAAATTAGTTAATCTAGTTTTAAACTTCTTTATAAAGCTTTGTTTAAAAGCTAAAGAGAAGAAAATGTTGACTTAAGGCCTAAGTCAGCAAACTCATTAGTCAAATATCAACAGTACAATGATTGAAATTTCTTTTGAGAGCCAAATTTTTTAAACTTAAACTAATTCTAATGACACTTCTTCAAAATAGACTTGCCCAGGCCATGACATTTTGTGGAAGAGCCACACTCAAGGGGCCAAAGAGCCGCATGTAGCTCACAAGCCACAGTTTGCAGACCATGGAAGGCCAATCAAATTTCCTTTTTATGTCATGTGAACTAGAAAAACCAAAGAAACAAACAAACCAAAAAAAAAAAAAAAATGTGATTAGCTGTGGGAACTAAAGCAGCAAGGTTTTAGTAGAATGAGTGGAGACAGCCATGGTGATTTCTAGGCATCACTATGAGATAGTAAAATTATTATGAGTCAGTAGAGTTGATAGAGCAGAATGGAGATAGTATATGGGGAGTCAGAGGAACCTCATGAGCAAGATTAAGTTGTTCATGAGAGAGAGAGAGTATCAGGACCTAGAACTCCCTGATTTCTGACAGATTTCCAATTCTAGTCTACAAATATCTTCACAATGAGCACTTCTTATACCCTGTCCTCCATGATATGAAGGAATCTGTACTTTTATTGAAACTGTCCTGGATAGAAAAGCTAGTAATCTGCCTTAAGAGTGTTACCAGATGCCATTCATATTAAATAATGTATTTTTTTTTACATATCCACAGTCTTTAATAAGAAGCAGTCTCTAAGTCTTTTCTTGGGAGATGTCTTAGGTGGAAAGAAATGACAAGTGGGAACTGTGCATATCCAAGACCCACTCCATCAGGAACATCTGTTTTGTTTTGTTTTTCCCTTTTTATTATAATCATCTTAAGCACAACAGAAAGAAGGTTATCTATTAAGACTAATTTCACACAATAATTGTGAACTATTAATAATAATTTTATTTCATGAGACAGTACCCACAAAGAAGGATTTGAAGAACAGGGTCATTCCTACTTCACGTGAAAAAACATTCCTTGGGTTAATACTTGGCTTCTTATAAGTAGAACCTATCTTATAGTAAATATATGTATGAAAGGTGCCCTTACCAAACCAAAACGTCATAAACCTCACCTCATGATAGGATTGCCCTGAATACAAACAAAAATAAACATGAATATGCATCTGCTGCAAAATGTGTAGCATTTGAGGATTGCACTCAATTAATTAGCATGTTGCACTAATACATTCAGTGACTGGTGAGGACAATGTCATTCAGGTCCATAGTTTATTCAAATTAGCACTTACACAACAGTGAGTGGTCATCCCCATGAGTCACTTAAAACTGCTAAATTTACTTTGATTCATGCAGTACAATGCCCTCTGCATCTCAGTTCTAGGGACTACTGTATTCACTTGGCTTCTAAGCACAATTAGAAGTGACTTTCTTCCAAGTAATCTAAAAAAAATACACCCACAAAGCCATTTCTTAAAAAATGAAACAGCATGGAAATTAAGATAATGAAATAAGGGTATTTACTGTTGCCCTTTGCATTTGTCATTTGAATAACCAGTTCTGTACTAAGTCATCTGCAAATTTTGTTGTAAGAAATCATGTCTACCCAGATTGTTCACATTCCTAAAAGTGCTTCCTACTTAGCATGGACTCCACTGGGTAATAATGATTTTATTCACATTTCCATTTGTTCATTATGAAACCAGGAGCTTGCCCAAATTCCTAGTTAGCACCCTTTCCATTTCCACCCTTCACATACATAAACGTTCAGAAATAGTGGAGCCAACACAGAGAGGCAGAAAGAGAACAAAGCAATCGATTGGTGGAGGAGTTTGAACACATGAAAAACAATTTTCCTTTTAAACATATGGGCAATGAGTTCTTAAATAGTGGCTATCAAATAAAGGCACTGTGAGTATCTTATCTCAAGTGCAGGTTTGATTTGGAGAAGAGTTAGTGAGGTTTGCTGCTTTACTACCCAGAAATACAGAATGTAGGTCAAAATGAAGTTTGTCCTGAAAACAACTCTAATTTTTTTCATTCTATTAATATTCAATCTCTCCTTGCTTTTCATTACTTTGGATATTTCATGCCAATCCCTTTTTCACTGAAATGTTTCTGTTGAGAAACCCAGACAACAAAAAGCTAGAGTGAATTATCACCAAACCAGTGTTACAAGAACTGTTAAAAGTGAGAAAAAGAGAAACACCATACTACAGTATTTCACTTATATGTGGAATCTAATGAACAAAATAAACTAACAAAAAAGTCATGTGTATTTCTCTTATTTTACTCTTTTATTCTGCCTATAGCATACACATTCCTAGAATCTTAGAATTTTTGAGATTTAAATCCTCATTAATTCAGTGCTCTGGCATTATAACAATATGGTGGCCCTTTGAATTAATTTATTTATTCACTAACGATCCTTTGAAGAACATCGATGTGCCATGCCTTGTAGTTTCTGGGGGTGGTCAGCAATCTTCTGTGTTCCTTGGTTTGTAAATACATCACTTTAATCTCTGCCTCTGTCTTCACATGGACCTCTCCTCTATCTTTTTCTTTTCTTCTAAAGACAATAGTGGCCTGGTGCACAGATTTGTGCACCAATGAGATCCCTCGGCTTGGCCTGTGGGGATGGGGTCAAAAACAGCTCAGTGTATGGATTCATTCAGGGCATGCCTAGTCCATTTCACACAGTCCCAATCAGGCCCATCAGGGCAATTTGGGCTGTCTTGCCCAGTCCTGATCAGAGCTGATTGGGGCTAGCAGGGGAGAGACATTGGGAGGACTCCAGGGCGTGTCCAGCCCATCTAGCCCAGTCCCTATCAGCCGGACTACAACAGCAAGCTAACCTACTGCTTGGAGTATCTGCCCCCTGGTGGTCAGTATGGATCATAGCAACTGGTCAAACAGTCAAAAGATTGGCCTGACAGCATATCA